AAGGTGTTGGAAGAGGAAAGACAATGAAACACCCCAGTGCACTGTCAATGTACACATCGTCTCTTTAGTCTCTTTATACAAGAGGGCAGGTGGAGCTGGACTAGACTCAGGATTAATGGGGTGTGAATGAAGTGGGAGGCACAGAGTTTGGCTTCAGAGGGTTTGAGAGGTGCTATGGGTATAAACAAGTCATAAAAAGAGACAATAAAACTACTGAGACTGCGATATTAAGCATCCTTCACCGTCTGTCTCCACTTCCACAGATCTGCAATAACCTGAAAAACAAAGACAAAAAAAACATCTGTTAACATGGTGGACCAAGTACCACATTTAAAATGTCTCATAAGAAAGAATCAAGACCAAAGCAATTCTATTCTCATCTGCTTCTGCACATAAACAGAGAATTCAGTGCATTTACTTTAACAGTACTTTCACTGTGTGAGATTTCAAAGTTTGGGACTTTGGTTCCCCCTAGTGGCAGGATATATATATATATAAAAAAAAAGGGTAATAAGCAACACAGACGGGGCAGTTTCAACTAGGACCATCTCTCTTTTTTCCCCTTTTATAAATAACTGAATTTGAAAGATGCTATTTTATTAATTTTCTGTGAACTGTCAAAGATTCAAAATAAAAAATGTAAATTAAAACATGCTCTAATACTTTTAACCTTTTAAACTCAATTCTAAGATTCATTATTCATATGAGACCACAGGTTATTTGTCTTAGCTTGTACAGTAAACTAGTAGAATTTAGGACACATTACAGCTTTTAAAAAGGAGAAGTCAGTAAAAGTTAGCCATGACCTGAGTTTCAACTAGATTGGAGTCTGAAAACGTCAAAGTAAATCCAGACAGATGTCAGCTCAGGAATAAGAAGCATCAGCAATACCAAATTTGTCTTCACTATTATATTCCCTATATGTACAAAACTTTTTATAGGCAATTCATTTACAAAGTAGTTTTGTGATTCATTTTCTGAGGCAATTTAGGACTACAGGTGTTTAATTATTGGCAGGCACTGTGAACTTGTACTGTACCTTGGCATCTGAGACTTTATAACCATGCTTCAGAAAGTTCTCAAACTTGGGCTGGAGTTTAGGTAATGATACTCCCTGTAAAAGAGAAAGAATAGCAACAAATGAGCAAGTTAGTCAAGCCATGTATTATATTTTCAACTGGGGGAAAGGATCACAATAAATCAAAAAGGACACCAACCTTCTTCACTGCCTCCATCATCTTGGCTTTAATCTCAGGAGGTGATAAATTTACTTTGGGAGTTGCTGGGGCTTTAGGGGACTTGTCACCCTTACCTTTAGGGGTCTTCTCCTATAAAGAACATAGGTTGAGATATTAGAGAAAATGAGACAAATTTCTTATGAACTGGAGAAATTAATGTGAACAATGAATCTTTATAATTCCTGAAAATATTTATTATCAGACTGACAAAGTCCAGTGTATGTAAACCAGTGGTTACCTGTTTTTTGGCTGGAGTGCTGACTTTAGAACTCTTGCCATTCTGAGCAGGAGCTTGTTTGGAGGGTGTCGCCTTGACCTGTAACAAATAAAGAGCTATTGGTGAGAAACGGTGCAAGTTGCAAGGACTGCCAAAACTGTATGAAATAGGTGCTTGCCTTAACAGGAGACTCTTCTTCCTCGCTCTCCTCTTCCTCATCATCATCCTCCTCATCGTCATCCCTAAAAAAACAAAGACAATCATGGTTAAAAATTAAAAAACAATCAGATAGAAAGTGATCCATCAAAATCCAAATGACAAGGAAATGTCTTTACAATTCTCCCAACTACATTTAGAAGTGGTTTAGAACGGATTTAAATATCCAATTGTACATGTTTAAGGTTCCATCATCATCCTTCAGTTATCTTTAACTAGCACACATTATGCCAAGAGGCTCTTTACACGTAATGTGAGCGGTTTTGCCATTTTACTAAAAACAAAAGAAACAATTAAGAATAGACTAAGTTCATATGGTGCTCTGTTATTATCACTACTTCTTTAAGTCTTACATTGGAAAGTCAAATATTTCCCTGCTGTCTGTAATGATGCCACAGGTGTTTGGTTACAAGCAGTTGAGCTCCAAACTGTTTGTGCTGAAATATTGCTAACTGTTTCTCAGGTAGCAATACAAATCAGAGATAAACACGAGCCACATATCATTTCCATTTAAAGAAAAGGCACATCTGGAGACACACCTGTAAATCAAGCTAACATAGAACAGCATTTGCATCACATCAAAAATCCCCTTGTAAAGAATCAACATCAAGCAAATGAAGAGAGAAAACCCTAAAACCCTCTGTCATACAGGTGCCTACCCTGCCCGCTGGCATCCAGGTGAACTTAACATGCAGTGGAGCTGTGCCTGACTGAAGTCCGAGGGAAAGAAAGGACTGCCATTTGACACAGCTTACCATTTAGTGTTGACTAGTGCTCAAAATCATTGAATATCGCTGGAAACGTTTGAGAAAGGACGAGCCAAACATGTGGTTCCAACGCAACACATTCTGAGATGTTTAAAAAAATGGATTGTCCAATGTGGCAAGACAGTGTAAAACTGGCACCAGAGTGTGAGCTGTTAAGATATAAATGTAAATTTGACTTTGACAAAGTGTTAAACTATTGTTGAATAACGTAAAATGTAATATTTTAGATATATTATTTGATTTAAAATGTGCATTGGTTTGATACACATTGAACAGAGCAGTTTGAGTGTTCAAGTTATGAACCTCACTCTGTTCAAGTGTATGCCTGTGTGAATGTGTGCAAAGCTTGACACTCACTCGTCATCTTCATCATCATCATCGTCATCCTCCTCCATGTTCATTTTCATTTTTTTCTGTAAGAACGTAAAAAACAAAAAAGGTTATGTCAACTGTATTTTTGACAAATTAGAAACAAAGACAGTAGAGGATGCAAAAACAAACCTGAGACTTGATGGCAGGGGAGGAAGCGGGCCTTTTCTTTGATGTTCTGACATCTTCCTCCTCCTCTTCGTCATCGTCGTCATCATCTTCATCGAAAGACTGATCGGCCTCCATCACTTTAAAAACAAGTTAGAAGTGTTAGACTAGGTTTAAACCACTATTTAAACTTCAATGCATAACCCCGAGCCATCCACACAATCACTTAACACTTTCCCCCCAGACTAGTTAAAACATCCGTTCAATCTGGTCAAATACTCACTGACGAGGTGCTGTCCACTGATATGGATTGGACCGGAACCTGCCTTCAGACGGAAAACAGCTGGGGGTGTGATTGTGAAACCGCCGAGACACACCTGCAACAAACACTTGCATTAGCATCCACGTTGAACAGTGCTGAAAGGTGCAGTCTGCAGTAACTGGGTGCTCCTAGGGTTTGGAGTTCAATAACCTTAAGATGGTTGGTAACTAGCAGCATTTAAAATAATAAAAAGTATCCATTTTCTGAGACAATGCTGTTGACAAGCAGCATTATTCAACCAGTAATGCCTTCCACTCGTGTGGGTGGCTGAAGGGACACTGAGAAGTGTACATAAGCAAAGGCAAGAAGTAGTTTACTTACACTTGGCAGGGTAGAGGGTTTCAGTGAGACCAGTGCTGCCTTGATTTTCTGTCCCTCTATGTCTTGTCCTTCCACCTCCACCATGTGAAGTTCATCTTTCGTGCTGGGGTCCACACAGGCCTGGAGAAGGCAAGGAAACAGTGGACTGTAATTCTATGTTACGCTTTAGCTCTGGCGCTCTGTTCAAACAAACTCTGGTGTGTTCAAATCACGCTACGCTTGAATCCATCTGCTGATAAACTGTCAAGAACGCCATCTGTGTAAGAGCTGTGAATATATGGGATATCATCTGCTAACCATGGTGGCATATATTATGCATCACTTTCTTCATGCGTCAGAAACTGGAGGTGTTAGGCTGGTGTCCTATTCCGTGTAACTGAGCACTTCAAAAGGTAAGTGAAACAATCCCTCCAGAATATAACAGTAAAGATGCTTCCTTTTTTTGGACACCATTTACGGCGTATAGGTTACTACTAACACTGATCATCATTTCTTTTACACAAGAAAAGAGGAATAAGCACAGTCCCATATCATATGAGACTATCATTGTGCCTCTTCCATACAAACAGATGCATGTTAAGAGCGGGCTCAGAGAGCTACTGTGGATGACAGCCTGTAGCTCATTGCACCACTCCCCCAACCTGACTACATATTCAGCCTGCTTGATATCGTCTGGGGGCCTGGGAGGCATTGTATCTTCAAACAGTTCACACATAGTGAGCACGCTCAGAACGAACGCCAGACTGCCTCTGATCTGGGGGCTTTTGTCGGCCATCTTCCAAAACTGTGCCACAATTTGCTCACTGAAATTTGATTTAGAAACTGACTGATTCAACAAAATGAGAGGGAGGAACATTGGTAAGAAGCAAAGTGACAGGCATTATGTACATCCTATTCAGTGTGAAGTGTGTGCACGTTTGCACCCTGAAACTACAGTGGGGAACAAAGTTAAACATCAAACTGTTTTGTTTTTTTGGGGGGGGGGGGCTTTTGTGTTTCACGCTCATGTATGTATTTTAGTTGCATATACAGTAATTATTTTGCCAAAGAAAATGTGTGTAACTTAAACACCAAGCATGAGATGGTGGTACTTTTTTTTAGCCACCTTAGAAAATAGCATCTCGTTTCATAACTAACTACATCACGCAGCTACAGGCCCGCTTCAATTACAAATTAAAGTTTTCTTTCGCCACTTAGGATTGTGTCTGCTTCACATTCTGTTTCTGTGCCGCATACACGCGGAAGGAAGAATCTTACACTCCAAATGTTGAGTGGAGGACCACGACTTCCCTTGATACTATCCTTAAAGCGGTGGGAAATAAACAGCAAAAATGGTGGTCCGCAGAGGAAAATGGAACGTCTAAAGTCGTAACAAATAAGATGTGTTATGTTTCCCCTGTGAACACCTGAGATCACAGGGCACTTACCATCCTTAGATCTAGCTGATGCTCAAACTCATCGTCCTCAGGGTTGAAAACCACCTCCTTTCCGGCTTCCAGCACGCACCCTGATGAAAATATTTAAAATTAGCCAACAACTTATGTTAAACAATTTTAGAGCTGAAGCATATAAATAGTTAACATCTGAATCCGTGACAGACAGGAAATCATTTGGGTGTAAAGTGCTGTACTTCGAGAGCACACAAGAGGGCGCCATACAGACTACTGATGAATATTTCCACATGGCCTGTTTCCACATGGCCTGGAGTCACCTCAATTAGGAGCCAACTATACTATAAGTTCACTGAAACCTATATAGTGCACATTCAACTACACTATTATTGTACAACACAGAGGGCAACGGCAGATAAATACCATTTCACTGTACTTCTAAAGTTAAGATAGCTTTTCAATACATTTTGGTAAAACTAAGTACTTTGGTGTACACGGTGGTTTCACGCTACTACAGATTGCTCGTCCCTTGTCTGGAAAACAATTCTCACGTTCATACATCATTTATACTCACTGGGACTGAATGCTTTTCACATTTCAAAGTGTGTAAAAATGAGTTTGTCATTTCCCTACAGTCAGAATCCTCTCGGCTTGGTTACTCATTATTTCCAACCATCACATCTATCGTTAGTGTCGACTGGGTGATGGGAAATGTATGCCGATATAGTGCGACTTGATTATAATATGAGTTTATTCAGTGACAGTGGCATTATGTGGCTCTAAAGTCAGGGGAGCACTCCGAGGTGTTCGCTGTGTTGGAGTCAAACGAGGTGAGGAAGAGTGTGAAGAGGACGTCAGCGGGGTCCGCGTGTGTTTCGACCCACGTTGTGATCGCTTTTACCAGCGACCTGAAAACAGCCAGGTCTAACTTTATCATAAAGTCTGCGGGTACAGCACACAGAACGGCCATTACAATGTAAAACAGCGTCAACGTGTCGCGTAAAGAAAACGCTTCAATATTAACATTGTTCACAAAACACGGGCGCCGCCATGTTGAGAGTGAAACACGTGTGTGGTCTGAAGACGCACTCTTCCCCAGGACTCCTTCAACCTCCTGCTACTGTTTTAAAATTAATTTAATTAATTAATAACGCCACATATTACACTTTAAACGATTCAACATGGCGATAGCAACGTTACCTTCCATTATAGAAGAGCAAATGCTGCCAAACAGCTACATTTAGTCGTTTTCTTGTCTCATTTTCAGCAGCCCAACACGAGGACGCGTGCTGTTCTACATCTACAAGTGACATACGACATGCAGAAGTTATCTCACCGTAAAGGAAGGTCTGTGGTGCCATTGGTTCTTCGTCTAAGCCGTTCATTTTGTTGAGATTAAAACGCTGACAACCTGCTGCCTGTCTGCGGTAGAAGAATAACCAACTCCTCCTAGGAAGCGCTAACTAACGCGGGACTCCGCCTCCTCGCCTCGCTTCTTCTTCTCGGTGCCATGCTGAAGAGAACAAGACACGTAGACAGGAAACAGCGCCCCCGACTGTACCACAAAGGGTAGCGCACACTACACAGTTGTAGCTGTTGCTTGCTGGTGTTTTAAGAATGGCAGTTTTCCATGAGATGTTCAACAAAGCCCTGAAATATTCTGGTGTGCAATATAATCCAAAATCGGAATGGTTGTTTAATTCTGATGTGTTTATGTTTGCTGACTATTTAAGTGTTCTCCTATATCACTTTAGCAAAGATTTTTCGTCAGTGATATATTTTGTTGTGGATAATTGTTTGTCTTTATTTTTTAGACCTCTGTGCTATTTTTTTTTTTTTTAAAGTACAGTATAAGTAGGCCTACATATATTCTCTGGATGTGGCTCATGTGAATCTGAGGTGTTTTGTAAGTCCACACATTCTGGGCATGGTTTTATGAATGTAATGGAAAGTAACATGATAAATAAAAATTTAATGTCTATTCCAGAAAAGTAAATACAAAACATAGCTTTTTTAGAATAATAAAAACACACAGTATGTAGCAAATAACAGACAGTTAGAAATACTTATTGTAAAACTTGTAATTTATTCTCAGACAAACATATTTTTACATATTTTGTCAGTGGGACCAGAAGGTGTTGTATTTCTAAAGATGACTGTGTTAAAATAATTACAATTGGAAAAATGTTCCACATGATAGAATGTTTTTCCAGTTGTAATTGGTTTATACAACTTGGACCTCTGTAGGGTAAATTCACATGGGTGTTATTGTGCTCTGCATGATTACACTGTTTTCTGTTTGATTAGCTGACATATGGGTGAGCAATATAAGGAATAAACGTTAGTAAGGTATTGGGCCACTATGAGCCAAATGGCTTGAATTCTGGGGATTGTGAAAGTCACAGCATGGGATTCACATAATTTTACACATCAAACCATTCAGTGGCTCTTTATGGATGCATCTCTATTTGTTGTGTTCTGTCTACTCATTGATTTAGGTTACTTCCTTGATTTATGGTTAAATTATATATCTTTTGTGCATACACAGAATAAATGCACACAGTCATAGACACACACATATGCACACATTTGCATACAAGAGAGAACAACTGTAAAGTAAGACACCACTCAATTTAAGAATTTACATATTTATTTTTATGGCTTAAAATTAATATTCTGTCTGTGAGATTTAACAACTCTGTTCCAAACCAAGATATCAGAGACCAGAGGCTGTATTGTCACACTGATGTACCATACAGCAAAGAGCTGCTCCACTGACAGCAAAAAGAACAGTGATAAATATTTTAGTGCATAAACTACTATGTCCTAGTGAGTTTTCTATTATAGCGATGACTCCCCAGACACCCTGACTCACAGACAACCATCTGCAGGAGTCATCCTGTTCTGTCTGTACCTGTAATGTACACCAGTGTGACGTCACAGGCCTGATTTGGATGGAGGAGGCAGTGCCAAATGTTAACTAATACAGATGGAGCTGCCCTCAGTGTCATCAAATTATCACATTCCAAAGCTGACATTCAATGGTATTTCCCTGCAAGATTATCTGAGACTTTCTCATACCAGGATTTCATCAGACGGACCCATCTTCCTACCATATTTCTTGTATATTACATACCAATGAGCATGATCAATAACGCTGTACAATACAAATATTTTACTGTTAACACTGTCTTCATCTCCGACCTTGATCACCTGTCACCTGTGCAAATAAAGATATTAGTTTGATGATCACAAGCCTCTTACAGGCGAATTAGTCAACAAATAAGTTTTGTGGGCACTTCATCATGAAATCCAAAATGAATGCACATTTTTCACAATACTTTTTTTTTCGTACATTTTTGACAACACACCGATTTGACCACAAGAAGCTAAGCAGCAGGTGAAAATATAAAGGAATTAATTGATGTCTTCATCCTTTTTCACTAAGTTCCAACATAGACAGAAAGACACACACACACACCATATAAGACCCAGGAAACGTACTGCTTCCAAAATGTTTGGCTTTCTACTGGAAGCTTTAGACAGACAATATAAGCATCAGACAGACTCAGCAGGCAAGCGACAGCCAGGTCGACACAGGAGTACAGGGGTCACTGCAACAGTGATACCAACACATGGCATTTAAAAAAATGTCACATCTGTCAGACACTAGATGCATGAGCTAAATATAGAAGTCCTTATGGCCAAATTCCCATAACAGCTATGACAAATGTTTGGAGATGAATCAGAACCTCTTGCAAAAGCATGCATTTATTTTGGCAAAAAATAAAGTTCAGCTGGTTGAGCAATAGCTTTTTGCTGGTTGGGAGCAGCCTTGTAATGTTGGAGCATCTTTATCTTTAACAGGACTGAGAGCAATGTCTTTATACGTCCAAGTCTGTCACATTAGTGACTTTGTATTGTGTGGAAAAAAACTCAGCAGGAAAGCTAAAAGCATTCCAGTCCAATCCCTTCATTCAAGTCATTGTGGGGCATTCTGGCTGTATCCAGACCACAGTTTGATGAGATGGGAAGAGAAGGAGAGACCAGACGTATTGCACATATGCATCCACACACACGCACTCACACCAAGCCCTCTTATTTCCTATGTCTTTGTCTCCATCATCTCCTCTGGTCCTACATCACGTTTTCGAACAGCTGCATGGATCTCATCATGGTTTCATCCTGCGGAGAGAGAAGACAGTCAATCAGGGCAGAAGGATGCAATAAGCTGGCAATGTACCCCTGCATATAGTATAGAAAACCCTGCTGTATATGCTGCATGAAGACCACAGCTTCCAGATACAACATAATTTCTCTATTTAACTTCAAACAAAACATCAGTTCCAGCTGTTTCAGAAGGACATGTCAAAGTTTGGACACTTTAAGTCTATATTATTTGTGAGTCTATTTTCTCTGCATCTGTAGGCCTCAGTTGGACTTAAATATAATTTGTGTATTTATGTGTACTGTTTGAGCAGGTCAAACATAATCTATGTATATCTACATACACTTACTAGCTTTTGGAACCTTAAACTGCTTCTCATGGTTTTCATTGTGGTTAACAGCTCAAAAAGACTCATAAGTGCCTTTCTTTAAGTTTAGATTTAATTATTCATATTGTTCCCCAAAGGTCAAGAATGAACTTTCATGCTCAAACTTTGAATGTATTTTTACATACATATAAAACAATGTAGAGGAACATATTTAAGTAACTGTACTTTAGATAAATTCATGCTTACATATTCTTCCCACTTCAGTCACATATGGTAAAAATTGTTATATATATTTTCATATTATTACATATAGAATTGGACAACTCAGATGTAGGACAACATATACCTCCTGGCAGGCTATGATAAACTCCTCTAAAGTCACCACTCCATCTTTGTTTTTGTCCATTTTCTGTGGAAAAAACATTGCAATATAATGTAAATCAGTATGACATAAAAGCACATTTTGAATAGTTATGTTGTTTTAGAAATGCATGTGTAGGAAACTGTTCTATCCACTATCACTATGGAACACAGTATGGAGAATAACAGTTTTTTAAAAAAGGTGAAAAAATAAGTAAGGACTGCAAAGTTGCTATATGTAAACATATGACTGCTAATGATATAAACTTTATAAGCCTCAATAAGTCTCAATAAAACCATAGGGGTTCATTCGGGAAGCTCCTCGGGTATAATGAGAGGCATTAGGAGTCAGATTGTTTTTCCTCACGCTATGTAAACACAATGGGTTTAAAATCACCTCTCACTGTTAACAAAAAGGCTTTATTCATATTAATCTTATATATTATGAACCTGAAAAAAGGCATCCACATGCTGCTGGGAGACGTCTCCCTTTAGTGCAGGGTAGGTGTACTTTCCCATCATGTCATAAATGGCCCTCACAATCTCAGTCATTTCCTGAAACAAGAAAAGATTGACACTGTGGTGAAACACTGACCTTAGATGGCTAACAGAACACTGTAGCTATACACTGTGAGAGCAGAGTCTCACCTCTCTGTTTATGTAGCCATCTTTGTTAATGTCATAAAGGTGAAACGTCCACTCAAGCTTTTCTCTCAGTGTTCCTCGCAGCAGTATGGACAACCCCGTTACAAAGTCCTGGCAGCAATGGAACAGAAGACAAACTCAGATGGGAGTACAGAAATCAAACATATTTGAAATAAAATGCAATTGCAAAGGAGGATTTTACCTTAAACTTAATGGAGCCATTGTTTGTAGTGTCAAATGCATTGAAAAGATAATGTGCATACATGCTTGCATCTGTAACACACACACAAAAAATAATGTGTAAGGTTTCCTGTTTCCAAAATGCTACACAGAGCAAAGAAATAGATGAAAACATTGCACTTTACCTCCATGAGGGAAGAACTGTGCGTAAATGTGTTTAAATGTCTCCTCATTTACCACACCACTGGGACATTCCTGTTGGGGAAAAAAATAATAATTATGAATTAAGGTTACTCTACTTGATGAAATCAATGGGATTTTGACCCCCCTATTCAGCAGAACTGTGCAGTCTGAGTTATGTTACTAGAAAATGACAGAAAATGAATAGTTCCCAGCAATTGTTAGCAAGGTCTTTGATTGAGGATAGTTTCGGAAAAAGCTCCTGATTTTTTTATTATTATTATAATTTATTATAATTATTATTATATTATTATATATTATATATTATTATATTATATATTATTATAATATTATTATATTATTATTTAGATGGATTTATCTGTTGTCTCACAGACACAACTAGCCAAACAGCTGAACTGCTGGACTGGATTTAAACTGACTGCTCCTAGATTAAAACATCTTTGGTAAATTGTTTCATATTCATTATTGGTGATAACAGGCCTGTCATAGATACTGAATATCTGGCCTGTAAAAAAAAGTGTTTGATGCTATGTTGACCACAGTGTCTGCTGGTAATTGTAGTAATGGCATTGCATGCAGACTTGTAGCATAATGTGTTGTCATGTGTGAGTTGATTGTGTGGCTATATTGTGTAGGCAACCAGCACCACTTTTTTAACCTTTATCTGATCATGGTTTTGAAATAGCCTATCAGAAGTTGTGATTCTTAAATATCAGCAGGTTGCTGTTTAATGATAAATCCATGGCACTGTCCATGGGGGTGAAATAACACACCTCATTGGAATCTACATTTCTCTCCAGTCCTCCCTCCCAGCCTGTTAGTCTGTATTTTCTTTTTGCAACTTTTTGGCTGACATGTTATGTTGCATTATTAATCAGGCTATGTTGTTCATTAAGACAATCATTACAGTGTGGGTCCTAATTATTTTCTTGTCATACATACATACATTTCATGTCATACATAAAAGATGGTGACCATGGTAAACCCGCTACTGTAAACATCAGCATGTTAGCATTGTCTTTGTGAGCCTGTTAGCATGCTATAATTAGCATCTTAGATGGCTGTAGACTCGTAGGCTGCCTTCAGACTGCAGGCCAAATCACATGAAATTGGATCTTTTCAGTCTTGATTTGGGCCACTTTGGCTACGTTCACACCGCAAGTCTTAATGCTCAATTCAGATTTTTTGCTCAGACATGATTTTTTTGTTTTGGCTGTTCACATGCGCAAAAGAACAATAACAAGGACATCAGACACAGCACGCTGTTGCACTAAAGTTAGGGAGGTTAGGTCAGATTTGGGCCACTTTTGCCTGCAGTCTGAATGGGGTCTTTCTTATGTGGTCCAAATCAGATACAGGTCTGATCCTTTTCAATGTGACCACTGTGTGAACAGTCACATCAGAATTCACGTGACATTTCGTCATGCAGGTCACTTCAGGACCACAACTGGAATCTGATGTGCTGTAATGTGAACAGCCAAACAAAACAAATCAGATCTGAGAATGTAGCCTTAGTCTTGTTCAAATAGGAATGATCTGCATGGCTAGATACCATTAGTGTTAAATGGGAAATTGGAATTAGGGTGATCTAAATCTTTAATGTTTGAAGAATGCAGAACGTATGCTGTATGTAGCAATGTAATCTAATAAAATCAGAAAGTGATGATATTACATTCTTGAAGCCACGATAGAGGATCTGCAGCTCCTGTTTGGTGAAGTTAGTTTGGGCTTCCAGTTGCTCAAGACCCTCTGGCCTGTGACACACCGTTGTCATCTCAAGCTCATCATCTGTTTTATCTAACAGGGAAGATAAAGATAGAGACACAGAAAGAAATATACTTATTACACAGAATCATGTCAAGAATTCTACAATCCCTGTCTAACATTTGCTCTTCCCAGTCCAGTCTAATATGAAAACTATAACATGCAGAAAAGAGACAACTCAGTGAAGCTTGATAATGTTATGTCAGCCAGAAACAAATAAAAAATGTGATTAAACAGCAGAAAGGAGCGCTCACAGAGGTAGCAAGAAGCAGCAGAATGATAAGGCCAAAGAGGATCACATCGAGGTAAAAAAAATGATAAAAAGCACAGTTTTAAGAAGAACTTGAAAAATAGATTTCCCCTTAGGAGTTGAGGGTTTTTATTAATGGCCACATGGTGCTCAGTATCGGGTGCTATGGAGATGCATGGTGGTTAATGATGTGAATAGCTCTGTTCTGCTCTGGGCAAGTGTTTGTCACTACGACTGTCTCCTGCTACAGGGCAAATACTATCCCGACATCCGGCAGTGGACACAATCCACACACCAATGAGTTCTCCAACAAGAGCAAATATCTGGGAGAAAACAGATGCATAAATTGCTCTCTGGAAGTCTTTATTGGTTACACTGACAGCTGCACACCCTTGGAAAAAACAAAACCTAGTAGGCTGTTCAGACACATCTACAGCCTTATATTGGTGGTGGCAGGACAGCGTATTTACACATTTTTATATCCCCACTGGTTCCTAGCGATATGCTTTGCTTTTATGAAGTGATAGTACTATATGCCAATGCTGTAGTACTGGAGTCTGGTCTCTGACCCGATTTTTCTATTGTCTCGGACTTGTGTTGGACTCGTTGGACTGGGTCTTGACTCGTCCTCAGCTAGTCCTGGTCTTGGACTCGACAAAGGTGGTCTTGACTATGCTATATCATTGTCGTAATTATTTTAACCAATGAAAGCCATAACTTGACAAACTAGTTTTATAGCTGTGTCAGCATCAATCGGCTCAGTCAGCCTATAAGAAAAGGAGATTAAAACGAATATTATCTTCCTGCTTTTTGGATGTCGGCGATGACTCATTCATTGCAGCCCATTCAGAGGCGGCGTCAAGATTAATCCTCAACACTGTAACTGTATCATGCATCATCTGCCAGAGGCATTCCTAATTTGAATTTGATATCAGATACCATGTTGGTCATCCACTTTTTAGCAATTCCCTGAGGCATCGACTGTATGCAATGATAATATGAAAGTAAGGTCTACTTAGCTGCATTTGTGGCTTTGAAGAAGGAAGAATAATTGCTTCTACTTTTATCTTTGTATCATCCTCATTTGGATCCAGTTTGTTATTTATTGGATCTCTGTTTCAGTCCATGCAAAAACAACTATCAGTACACCACTTGCAGCTGTACACATTCATATAGTGTTTACTGAGATCAAAGGCTTACAAATATGTAGGTTGCATACAGTATTTATTAATGAGGGTACCCACTTAGTTTAATGCTGATTTAGAAATAATTGAAAAAAATATGAGTTTGAAAGAGATCTTCCAGATGCAGGGGGAATTAGAATAATAACCCAGAGAGATACTATGCCAGCTAGTTTAAGCAGTTTATTGTAAGCTTAGCACATTCTGAGACATATTTCCTAACCCTTTTCACAGATTATCCCCCTTTTAGCACTACTTCCTTAAGGTCTCTGTTTACTGAATGCTGAACTAGTGTGGGATATTTCTAATATTTACTGTCAGCTATCAGAACATATAGCATGTGGTTATTTATGTGTTGCTTTCTCTCAATCTTCCCTCCATCTTCCTCTGAGCTCCATCCTGCGATCTCCCTGCCTCTTGTTGTCATGGGGATAGACAGCCAAGATGAATTTGAACAGTGGTGTGTATACTGGGTCAACTGATATAAAAAACATGTAAAACACAATTTGTACATTTATTTTTCCTGCGAGTAAAAGCCCCTCACCACATGACAACAAAACAACAAAGGGTGTTGTTTTGCTGTGCTTGTATAAATGTGTTTCTTTCTGCCAGGGCACGTTTGCTTTCCTGCAAATGTGATAGTGTGATCAGAAACAGATGAAATGAAATGAGGGTGAGAAAGGGAAACGGGGAGAGGTGTTGATTATAGGAGGGGTGAGACATTGGGAAGAGAGAAAGAAGGAGGTGGAAGAGTGTGAAGAAAAATGGTGTGAGGAAGAGAACAACACAAAGCAGAATATAGAATTACACAATATTTGTATTTGTAGCACAATGTTTGGGGGACATAAACAAACACTTAGCTATTGATCTCGGAAGATGAAGAAAGGGACATATTGAGTTTGAATTTAAGGTTTACTAGTAGCGACTAGCTTTTACCGGGGGAATAAAACACTTATTGACGATAATAATTTTACCAGATGACAAACCCAAAAGGGATTTATTCTCACAAGATTCAGGCAGAGCAATGCTGCAGACTGACATTCCCAGTGTTGATGCTCATATGCAAGGCAGTACATTGTACAACAGCTGGTCTGCACAGAAACCTTCATAAGCATGTACAGGGAGGGGAGTGTTATATGATGAAGTGATGCAGTAAGTGTGTGTCAGGTGGTGAGTTTATAGACAAACCATAGCTCTGTCATACTGTTAATGACAACTGCGACACAGACTGTTTGAGCGACTGGTTGTAAAAGTGCCGCAGGTCCAAGTGTTGCTTTTACTGATCCCACCAGGTTGGATTCAGTTTGCTATTCTGGTGTGCCTGGCAAAGGTCTATCACAAGCCTTAACAAAGTTTGACATTTTGGGACCTACGCTTATTTGCCTTCTTGCTGAGAGTTAGATGAGAAAATCGATATCACTCTAATGTCGATATAACACTACGGCCAGCTTATCTTAGCGTAAAGACTGGAAACAGCAACAAGTACACAAAATCCACCTACCAGCCCCTCTAAAGCTCAATAATAAGCAGGTTATATCTTGTTTGTTTAATCCAGTAACTTCCTGGAGTACGGAGGAAGTTACTGCACCCACCCTCAAGTTAGACAGGCTCATAACAGCCCGTACAGCCCAAATATGTCATTTTTTACATTTCAAGTTTTATATGGATGAAATAAAGGAGACGCGACATTTTATTTGGGGATCTTTAGGCAGATTTTGGTCTGTAAAAAAAGCTCAGTTAGCAGCTTCTCCCTGTTTTTGGTGTTGGTCTATACTAAGCTAAGCTAACCAGCGGCTGGTGAAGGGAATCAATCTTCTCAAACTATTCCTTTATTTCCATTGAGAGTAGGTTATTTCAGAACGACAGCAATTACTTTCTGTTTTCTTAATTTTTTTCAAATTCATGTCATGGAACACCAGCTGCTATAATCTTCAGTCTATGCCGTGAGTTTTGTCTGTGCCCCTTTTTAAAACTTCCTGACAAACCAGGTGCCACAGACATATCCACCATAGAGGCTGTAGCCTACAAGCCATTCTACCTGTGGCCAGTGACACAAACAACAACTTCTCCAGACAGGAATGTTAGGCATGTCTTATAAAAAGATTTTTGTCTGGTTTTGCACATATTTATTACATTCACTGTATGCTCTGTGGCCTACAACACAATATTGTATATAAGCTTTCTAATTATGCCTTATTTGTATTTGTATCCTTCCCTGACCCACCTCTTTGATCTGTTTCTTGTGCTGCTGTGATACTTATTTTCCCTCCTGGGGATCAATAAAGTCTTATCTTTCTTGTCTTATCTCATCTCGTGCCCCTGCACAGCTGGCAACACTAAACAAAGTTTAATGGACCTTAAAAAATAGGATGACCTCAGTGAATTTTTTCCATTTTGTTCAAAGGCTTTTATCAAAAGAACGATTCATCTGCATAAAAGCAGAGACCAAGGATCCCGCTTGTCTCATGAGGTGTTACATCCAACGTGAGAGAGTAATTGCTTCGTTTGCTGGTTCGTGTATTTTATCTCTATTTCATGCTAATATAAATTCATCATTCATTCTAGCTGAGAATTGTTCACACTCTCCTCTTATGCCCCTACAACCCAGTCTCCATGACAACAGGGATCTCAAGCATAAGGCCAGGGAGAGGTATGATATGTGAGCTGCGTTTTAATTCACATGCTCTCGCCTGAACCCTCCCTCGCTCCCCCTCTTTCTTTCACTCACTCACACATTGAATGGACACCTGCACGTGCGCACTCACTCACACACACACACACACACACACACACAATCACAGCATCAGGGGCAGTGATTTTGCACTTCAAGGACATACTTCATGGCATACTGTAATCTCTCCATCACACACATGCAGTACATGTGTTATGCCTCACACGTAAAACATTTTTTATTTAAACAATACTTATGTTATGTAAAAAGCATTTTGTATTTAAAAAAATAGCATCAACGCTGTTGGTTAATTTACTTTACATGTATGTGACATTTGTTGCCATTTGGTTACATGTAAGTAACATTTAGTAAATGCATTAACTGGTCTATTTTTGCTATTTCTCTGACTGACTTCCTTGTCCAATAATTTATAGTCGCTCCACAGAAATATGGCAAACATATAAATGTTATTAGCTACTTATGTTAAATTTGCATGTGTGCAACACATAGCAATATATAATAAATAAATAAATTACAATTAGTCCAAATTCTTATCTGAATGTTTTCTTTCTGAGGTAATTTCTCTCTGCTCTCTTTCTCTCTCAGTTCAGCTTTCTGTTGCGCTTTTGCCTTCCTTCCATCTTTTTCTGACTAATGTTGACGTACCTCTGGATGGTCTCCTTTGCTTGGTTTGCATGGTCAAAGTGCCCACCACTGCTCCCATGTTGTCACCGTGGAAACCAGCCTGGTCAAACAACCCAGAGAGTAATAGTCCTCTATTTATTTCACGGTCTTGTCAGCCTGTCGTCCTCTCTTTATCTGCCTCCACAGCCCTGTATCGTAAAGGGGCTTTGCCCCCCCCCTTTTTTCCTATTGCTGGTTTCAGATCTGTCACTGAGGGGCGACTCTCTCCTTTGAGCTGATTCTCTTGGATTTCTGATCTCCTTCTCAAAACACACACCCACAAGCTGCTCCTGCCTTTCTGCGCCACTCCCTCCGTTCTGTGCCTGATTCTACTCATCTGTCAGCCTTTCCCCCTCTTTCAAGCTGCCCTGCCTCCTCATGCCCTCATGTTATTATGGAGTGCTTGTAACCAATGCTGTACTCAGTAATAACACCACTGACATGTGAATGGTAGCAGGTAAAGGTCATGCCTTTAAAGCTGACAGATATTCATTACCTATTTCTCTCTTTTTGTTGCCCTATACATACACACATGCACACACAGTAACACACACGCATACACACCATTCAACCCAATGGTTAATGATGACTACAGTTCAAAACCACTTCAAATTAGTGCTGTGCTCCCTGACGCATGGTTTGCACCATAATAAGCCTGTAGATATATGCTAGCTGTTAAGGCTGCCCACTTGTGTGCATGTGTTTGCGTGTTAATTCACCACTGTAACATGGTTAGACCTTTTCCTCTCTCTTTCTTATATTCTAATGTGGAGGGCAACAGCGAACAAGTAATTTTTTACTGTGGAACAAACAAGAACATTAGAGTGTTTAATGGTGTCAATTAATGTTCATGGAGCAGCTTCGATTTAAGAAAATGAGACTGTGTGCATGGGAAAAGGAGAGCAGCGGGAGTGAGTAATGTTTATTTCCCTACAAGCCCCAGGCATTAAAACTCAAACAGCTTTGTGGCAAGCAGAAGTAAATGTTTATTATATTTTAAGTGCTTTCTCTACCTAAACAATATCATTCACTGTGGTAAAAAGCAACTAATGAGTACAAATATATCTTAGGATATTAGTATAGTCTGTTTTAGGATTTGATATGTTATCTGACAGAGATTCTCTGCTGCACTGGCATGAAGAGAAGCACAGAAAACGTGAATGTCTTTTTAAATATTCCACTGGCTGCTGACCAGAAATGTAAATGCTCTTTCTGCCTCAGTCTTTCTTTGTGTGTGTGTATTTGTGTATGTGTGTGTAGGTGAGTGTGTGTGTGTGTGGGCTTCAGAAAACCTCTCTTGATTTAAAAAATTCATGGGTTGCCATTTTTTCAACGCTGTTTCAGCTTTCTTGTTTCTTGAAAGTTGTGTTTCTCTGTTACAACTGTAAAAAGAGCAAAAGCCATGTGAAAGGAGTACGGTGGCCTTAACTGGAAAAAATACAGGAAAAAACACACTACAGAGTCTTCAGGAATTTAATATTTATTTCCTAATAGTTATGTAAGCCTTGAAAACTTGCCTTATCTGTGCTGTGTTTGTCTACGCTGTTTGACTAGCAGGAAACTGCACAGAACTGAGTATGCAGCACACTGCTGTTCAAATTATTATTCAAATTGTGTGTGTGTGGTTTGCTGATTGCAGTCCTGTGATTGCTCAGATAAAAACTTAACACGCACTGATTAATTAAACATACAGTCATGCATAATTTGGATAAATATACACCTCTCTCATGGTAGGTGTGCTACCTTTTGCTACAGTTTTCCTGTTTGTTTTCCTTTTTTCCAACCCAATTCCCTCCATTCAAATATTGTCACACTAAAATAAGGAAGTTACCATTTCACCTTTACAGATACTCATGCATTTCATGTAGTGATTTCCCTGCATCTTTCTATCAATATTTATTACTTTTACTTCCTGGGAAAATCAGAACAGTCACATTATCTCAGACCAGGAAGCATAAAAAAAAATTGATATCACAGATGTTCAAACAACCTTTCTCGTCCACTTCTCCCAATACAAATAGAAATAAGGCCACTGACACACCAACACAGCATACAAACAATTGCAGATGGAGAATTAAGTATTCAGATTACTTTAAGTAAACTGTTGTAATCCCCATGACAGATGTTTGCCATCTGGAACTGCCTTTCTGCAACGTATCACCCTGAACAGTGACAAGCACCAAGGACACTGCACTGCAGTCTGACTTCATAATCTTTTCATTATCTTTCAACCAGTTCACAGTCTGCACAGGTTGAGCTCCCCACCACCAACAGCCAACATCACTGAAAACTGTCTCATACTGTCGGATTTAAAATGTGAAAGATCACTAAAAATAATTAAGATTAATCAAGTATTACTAATTTTATGCTTTGGATATCAATATTCCATTATTTGGTTTTGATTCTTATTTTTATTGATCTTTCACATTTTAAATACAAAAATGTATTTTTTGTGATTTTGCAGAATACATACCGATCGTTCATGAAAAGCCATTTAACTCACACATCATTTCATGTAAGATCACGACACCTGAGACTGTGTCTTCAGTTACATTAAACCTTATCTGATTGAAACCATTTTTAAAATGTGATAAAACACAATAGCACTTTTTTTTTCAAGGCTCATCAATCTGGAGAAATTGCAATCTCTTTTGGCATGAGATGGCATTTTCAGACCTGCTAAGTGGTGCTCTAGTCTGATTATGCAAGAGCTCCTATCATTGAATTACTTGGTCTCTAGGGCTCTTTTAACATTCCTCTGTCACCTGCACACTCCACATTAGAAATAGCTGTCCTTTAAGAGGTGACAAATGATGAAGGGAGAAAGGGCCACATGATGCAGTGTCTCTGTATGAATTATGGATGTACTGTACAGTCACTTATGCATATAAGTCAGTTATAAAAAATGAAATGAAAATGTGGATATAGTATTTGATTAAGTTTCTTCAAAACACAAAGAATTATTCTAAATGTAATAGTTTCTGGTCTTTTGACAGATCGGACTACACAAGCAGTTGAATTTGGCCTAGGTAAACAAAACAAGAAAAATAATGAGTTGGCGTTCTAATATTTACCAGCTCCCATAATCCTTAATTTAGGAATAGGAAAATTGGTTATTTAAAATGTATACTGTAACAAATATTAATTCAAACATTTTACTGTTAAAAATTTAGATTGTTTTTTAATTTCAGAGAGATAATAAAAAGAGAAATTGTACATAAGAAAACTGAATGTACATGTTTTCTTTTGTCTTTGCCTTGTATTAAAAAAATGAACATCAAAGTATGTGTTAAATTAAGGAGACGTTAAATTAAATTCAATATTTAAATAGCTCATATTTAAGTGCTCATAGCGTTCATACTGTACAGAGGAGTGCCCTCAAAACAAAACAAATAATGTTTGGAAAAATCTGTTACTGGCTGAATTTGATGAGAAGAAAAAAAAAAAAAATGTTTTGACCGGGTGTGTTTCTATTGGTCAGCTCAGACCGCATGAACTGTCTTTTTGGATAAGTTGTGGTGTTACTCTTTAAACAACAGGTGGCAGCAGAGTACAATGTTTCCTTACAATCAGCCTGGGTTACTATAAGCTCATTTTGCTCTAACTAAATAGAACCATGAGCAAACATTATAACAACATGTGAACATGTAGGCAGAAGATCCCACTACAATACTACATACCCAGCCATAACCATACTTCTAACTGCAACAAATACTTGTCTGATAAAGGTGGATTGTGTGTGTGAATATCAGATAGTAAAACAATGATGCTGGAGAGAATTAATGTGGAGAATGAAACACACTGAGGAGGCTAGAGATAAAAATACATCTAGAAGAAGATGGTTACATAAAAGTGTGTAGTGAGGTGATGTAAAAAATTAAAAGCAGAGACACACACTGTCAGCTCCAATCCACTGCTTTTACAGCCACAGAAGAAGAGAACAAAATGGGAGGAGAAGGAAAGAAGGAAGAGAAAGAATTTTGGGGGAGAACAGTTTACAAATGCAGGGTATTGCTGGGTAATTCTGCCATATGTTTTGGTTATATGGCAGAAGTCCACTGGCCATAGATCTGAATCTGTCTCAGCAGTGTGAGATGATGTGACTCTGACTGCAAGGTTATCCATTAAAAGGACACATGTGACTTGTAATAGCAAGGGACAGATGCAGCATGGGGCCGGATGAGTGGGTTTCTGTCTCCACCTACTCCTGCTGTTTCCAACAGGACCTGAGTCATTGCGAAAAATGGTGCAAACACAAGAATGTGTATATTACGGTACAGGCGAAAGCAATCAATACAGCATTTTGGTCTCAACATGACGAGACTATGTAACTTTAGCTGAACTTTGGCTATTGTGGTTACAAATGATAATTATGGGATAATGCTAAATGCTGAACTAATACATCCACTACTGCATTTAACTAAAATGCAAAGTTGTATGCAACAGTAGCATCACTGTACAGGAGTCATACAGTGAGTCAACTGACTCGACAATACATTATACAGCAATATTCACATCAAGTTTGTTACATTAACATAGATCAGCACCATACAACATTTACCATTAAAAAAAAGAGATGAAAACAGGGAGAGAGAGAGAGAGA